AGAGGTGAGACTTAGCATATATATCTAGTGGGTTAGACTTTAGAAGTTAGATTTATATGTACCTAAAGGTGCTTTGCAACATTGGTATTTATATTTGCTTTATATTTTACCTCATATATTAGCATATACTAGAATAAGGTAGCTTAGGGTCAAAAAAATATAGCATTCATATTCACTTTATCCTAAAAGGCTTGCTCATATTCCTGCTATATTTTTTCTTTTAGAGGCATCCACATTTATCTTAGGCTTATGCTCCTGCCTCTTTTCAGCTACCTATATATTGTATGCCATTAGGAGAAATTTTTTTTACATCTAGATGTTATACTTTAGAGGTTAGACTTTTTCGCCTAAAGGTTAGGCTTTAGAGATTACTCAGCAGGTTAGATTTTAGATGTTAAACTTTTTTTCGCCTAGAGGTTAGACTTTTTTATCTTAATAATTATATAAAAAAAAATGCTTTCATAATGATTTCTTGTATATTACTACTTCAGATTAACTTTAGAGGTTAGACTTTTTTGTCTTTATGTTTGCGTAAATAAAAATGACTTTAGAATAGTTTCTAGCATATCAAGAAATTAATAGCATACTAGAATATGCTCGATACTATTTTAATCATGAATTTAGTATCTAAACTGTCTAAATCTAATCTCAAAGAGGTTAAACTTAGAAGGAATTTATTTTTATTAATGAATCAACTTTAGAATTAATTCTAGGATATCATAAAAAATTAGTATGTATCTTAGGCTTGACAAGATCATAACCTCGAATATTTCATCACTTCGTTTCTCAATATTCAAGTTTACTCCTAAAGGCAAGCAGTATACTAAATTAATATACATTTTAAGTTTGCAAGAACTCACAGAGAGCACACTCAGACACTTTAGTCTTCAGTATTCTCTATTCATTCTAAAGGCAAACAGAATGGTATAATTTTTTGATATATTATTTAGGATTAAAATCAGGCCAGCGTGTTAATAAAAATGGTATACATTCTAATCTTGAAAATTTAAAATTTGGGTAAGGAGGTAAGTTAATAGGATTTGTGATTGGTTTGATTTAAAGCTTGAATTCAATATTGGATTTTGATATGTTTCTTTATCTTGTAGATTAATTTGAAGTTTAATAAAGATTTTAGAAATTTTTGTATATTAGGAAAGTATCCAGAATGTCACACACTTAAGTATACATATTCAGAAATTTTATCTCAGAACTCCTAAATACGTCTATATTTATTATTACTAATGAAAATTTTAGAATAGAATTTTCTTTTCAAGATAATTCTAATGAAAATCTTGTTTAATATTAGAAAGTACACTTTTTGAATTACAAAACATTTAAAATGTAAAAATAAAAGTTTAATTAATTTATAACCTAAATTTATTAAATGTAAAAATATTATAATTAATATTATATAATAATAGTATAATATAATTATATAATTTAAATAGTTTAAATGTACTGCAAAATTTACTAAGAATGCATAAATAAATACATATAAAATTCAATATTTAGTAAGGATATCTATAATCAAATAATTGTGTAAATGATACTAACTAGAGAATAATTAAATTTATTCCTTAAACTATAAGTATAAAATTTTTCTAAAATATTTTAGAAAACTTAAAATATTTTGATATCTAATGATTATAAAAAAATAAAATAAAATTTTTAGATTTATCATATTATAATATATCTAATAGTAGTATTTTTAAATTTTTAAAATTCATAATTATCAATATATATTAATTTTTCAATTTTTCAATTTTTAAAAATAATTTATTATTTAAAAATTATAAAAATTTAAAATTTAGTTTATTGGATTTATTACATTAAGATCTATTAAATATAGTATTTTAATTTTTTTTTATAATAATTTATTATTTATTTATCTTTAAAAAATCACTAGTTAATTACATTTTTTTTTTTAATAATTTACTTATAAAACATCATAAAATTTATTATAAAAGCATTAATTTTTTAATAATATATTTTAAAATATTTAGTGATTACTAATATATTACTAATTTATTAATTTTATTAGAATATTATTAAATATTAAATATTAAAATTATATAAATTTTATTTTGGTAAGTATAAATTTGAATAAACATTTTAATTTAATAGGAAATTATAAATTGATATTATAAATTTGCATAATATTAATAATATTATACTTTTTAATTTCTGATATTAAAAAGTAAAGCAAAAGCTTTATTATTAATTATTAAATAAAAATTTATCAGAAATCAACTAATTTTAGATATGAATATATATTGAAACTCTATATATTTAATGATAAAATGTTTGATAATAATTAATGTACTTAATTTATTTTCATCAATATTATTGATTTTATTTAAAATTTATTTTTACTTCTGATAGTTTCAGGTTTAATTATTTAAATTAATGTTAAAATTAACCTTAAAAATTAAAAAATTTGATATATTAAATTTTTTTGATTTCGGTTAAAAATCGGTTCTTTAAAGATTATTCCTGCACAGTCTACAGTTTGTTTTTACCTTTAACTGCATAACCGGATTTTGTGTGAAATTTTTTTATTTACCAAAATAGTTTGAAACTCCATTTAGAAAAGATAATTCTATAGCATAGTCATGGGATACAGTAAATCATATGATCCGTAATGTAATTTACTGGTATATAATAATTTTTGGTCAGTTGTAAAAAATTGTTCAAGTCCAATGAGAATCGTACTCATCATCGTGGTACAAAAAAAGCCAAAAAGCCAAATTCAATCAATAATTGATGCTACTAAATGCACAGTACTTTTGCATCTATCAAACCAAAATGAATTAAACTTTCAACTGTTTCAAATGTAACTTACCATTTAATCTTGTATTGTAATAATATCAGGGATTGGTTTAGTTTATGACATTATTACTAAGGTATAGTTGGCAAGGGAAATTAATATTAAATAATAAAACATTTCTCCAAATTGAATTAGTTAAAATAAATAAATATTATCCCGTATTTTATAGATCCATATTATGATCCCTAATCCAAGTGAAACTAAATGTTTAAAAAATTGAAACCTTCATAGGTTATGATATGAAAAGAATAAAAAAAATGTGGAATCGAAAAGTTTAGAAAGCACATGTAAATTTTTAAAAAATTCATTATTAAAGAATTAATGTAACCCAGTTATATAATATATATGGACCAGTGATGGCAAATTATAAGTATTTTTTTCATATGACCTTGGTCATTTGAACTTGCTATTTCTAATAAAAATGATGATGTCATTTTAGGCCCATTTCAAGGTCCATTTGCCAACGTATGCCCGTCCATAATATGAACGAACGGGCATACCAGGGTAGGTCCATGGATGAACGAGAATGATATTAAAAAAGAGAAACTGATAAATAAAACTTTTTATGTATCATTCTTAAAAGTCTTTGGTCAAGTGAAATGAAAAAGGAAATATTTATTAGGGTTGTTATTATTATAATTAAGGATTTATCAAATCATCCTTTTCGTCATGCTCCAAAATCCGTGAATCCTTAAAAATTTATCCAAAAAACCTGCCCGAAAATTAAATTCAAGTAAACCTTATAACCTGCTTATCTTGGTAGGACAAACTATGATAGGAAAACTTTTACGTTATCATTCTGAATCTTCTGTGTAAGATCTCATGATAACCTTTATCTTTCCAGGGGTAAGGGTTAGGGTTATCTTATTAGGGTTGGAATCACTTTAGGATTCCGAGTCATTTCGAAGGAAGGTAGTTGCAATCCGAATAGATCCGATGATAGAGTCCGGCAACGATTTCATGTGAATGTGTATTGGAATCAAGGTATTGACGCGTTAAAAATATAATTAATTTGTAAGGAATCGTTATAATTTAAAATGGGTCACATTTAAAACACCAGAAAGGTGAAACAAACAAAGTCACATTAAAAAGGATAAGGAATTCCTTTTCATTAGGAACAAAATATCAATAAACTTCATCACAAGAATCCACAGAAAAGTGATTTGTGATTTTTACAATCGAATTCTCTTTTTCTAATCCAAGTTAGTTCAACAATGCAGATCCTTCCCCACGATAATTTACCAATAACGTGTTAAAATTTTTTTTGAAACATGCTACACAATACACAACATAAATTAATGAACTATAAAAAATAAAAAAAACTGAAATTTCATATGGGGATTTTTCATTTTGTAAAAATTAAAAATTTCAAATTTGGTTAGATCAATCCTTTTTATGTTGTCTATTGGAAAATGAAAATTGTTCAATTATGACGTTGTGTTATAAATAATGAGTCAAATGACCATTATTTTTGTATAACAACAATCTCCGAATTACTAAATTCAAATTTAGTAAAATGATAAGAGTGACCTTATCTCCTACACCGAACTTAACTTTTTAAAGTATCAAAAAATTTTGGCATTAGAAAGAAATACGTATTACATTCATTCTTTATAAACAAATTAACATTGTTCTTAAATTAAATCGTCATAAACTTTTTCTCAGGAACTCAAAAAACGCGCCACGAATGAATATATTATATATAGTGTAGCCACATTTATAGTTTGTGAAAATCGTCATCTTTCCTAACTCTCGCAAATTTACAGAATTGGTCAATACAATTTGATCAATATAAAGTGAACAATTTGCATAAATGAAACTTTACTCAATATTCCTTATTTGACTTCATTATGCATGTAACTTGTAATCATTTACTTAAAATATCCATTTAATTTAGATTAGTTTTCTAAATATATAAATAAAATAAATATCCGCCTCCTCAAAAAAAAATAAAAAAAATAAAAAATAAAATAAAAATAAAATAAAAAAATTTCTCTCTTTCGTAAAAACAAAACAACTATTTCCTCGTGATAAAAATAACAAAAATTATAATTTTGACGTCAAATTTTTTTTTTCCTCATATTATAGAATTTAATTCTTACTGGGTTTAAGCAAAAATTTCCGTTTTTTAAAAAAATAAATACATAAAAGCGACGTAAAAAAAAAAAGAGAAATGTCTTCTACTTCACTTTCTAGATCCGATTCGGGCTCATCAAAATACTCGACACCACCACAAACACCTTCAACGACACCACCTCCATTCATAATGTGTACAGATTTTTTACCAAATCTTTCAAAAGATTTATCAATATTACTTTCAGATAACGAAGATTACAACATGATCATTAACGTTGGAGAGCAACCAAATATCAAACAATTTAAAGTACATTCTATAATACTTCGGGTACGCTCACCATATTTTAGGGTAGCATTATCATCGGAATGGGCTAAATTCGAAAATAATTATATTACCTTTAATAAACCAAACATTAGTCCAAAGGTGTTTGAAGTGATACTTAAATATATCTATACGGGGACGATAATATTGGATGAAGACCTTAACATGAATACTTCAACCATTTTAGAGGTAATGATCGCGGCTGACGAATTATGTTTACAAGAAATAATCGATTATGCGCAAAATTATCTCTTGCTTTATAAACCTGGATGGATACAACGTAATTTTGCCACCACGTATAAAATAGCAACTGTACACAACTCCTTTAATAAACTTTTGGAATATTGTAATGAAATAATAGTAAATGATCCCGAGTTGGTGCTTTGTTCAGATGATTTTTGTTTATTGGAAGAAAATGCTTTGTTAACATTGTTAAAACGAGATGACCTATTAATAGACGAATTAACTCTTTGGGATTATCTAATCAACTGGGGGATTACTTCCACCGGGTTGTCAAGAAATTTGTCTGAATGGACAAACAAAGATTACGAGATATTGTCTGAAAAAGTTGAAAAGTGCTTACCTTCAATTAGATTCCTTCACATTTCAAGCGGTGATTTTTATAAAAGAATTAAACCGTTTGCACCAATTATACCAGTAGAATTATATGAGGATATACTTCAATATCATCTCGTTCCGGAACATCAACCTTCTGAAAATTTAATTCAACCAAAAAGGGTGACGATTGATTCAGTTATTATTGAAAGAAAACACGCCGCTTTAATCGCGAATTGGATCGATGGCAAGGATTGTGAAACAGAAAAAGAAAACTGTTTAAATAATCCTTATGAATTTAAACTACTTCATAGAGGTAGCCGAGATGGATTTACTGGTATCGAATTTCACCAAAAATGTAACTCAAAATGTGCCACCGTTTCAATTATGAAAATTTCTAATACTGGTGAATTAATCGGTGGATTCACTCCTATTAGTTGGTTATCTCAAAATTCTTGGGGGTATACTAATGAAAGTTTTATTTTTTCTTTGGGAGAGAACAATGTCGTTAGTAGAGTGAAAGATCCTTCCAGGGCAATCAATTATTATAAGAATTATGGTCCTTCTTTTGGTGGAAATGATTTAAAGTTGGCTGGTAATTTTAAAATTGACACAAAATGTCATTGTAGGCAAGAAGATTATGAAAATCCTATTAGGAATGATCCTAGTAGTTTTAACATTGATGAATACGAAGTGTTTCAAATTATTCCAAGGCGGCCAGATTTAATGAACTTGTAATATTATATACAGAATTATAATAATAATAATAATAGTAATAGTAATAATAATAATTAATATTGGGTTTAGAATATTAGATCATTTTGGTATAAAAATAATTAAAGTACCCTAAAAACAATTGTGCATAAAAATCTTTTTAAAATGGCGTTGTCGAATGTTGCGTGTTCTTAAATTTAATAAATGAAGTAATTGGAGTAAACATTATAACGCATTAGGTCACCAAAAGTTAACTTTATGATCTTTTGAATCAATCAAATGATTTCAAATAAATGACGGTCTTGTTATTTGTAGCGCGTAGATCTATATTATTAAAGGTAAAAATAAATTTATATAATTCTTCATGGCGACTGATTATAAATATCCGGTATTAAATAATATTCCATGTAAACTAAAAAAAAAGTTTTTAACTTATTAAGGTCAATTATTTTATTTTTTATTTAGTTGCATGTAATTTACCCAAGGTTTACGCAAATGAACAATGTAAATATGATTATATGGATGAAATAGACGAGCAAAAGCTTGCATACTGAATTTGTGGAGAGTATAATGTACCAGGCACAGGACAGCTTTGGTGTAGACCTATGCAACGCTAAAAGATTTAAGGAATTTTAAAATTGGACTATTGGAAATGAAATTATTGATGAATTAATACAAAGTTCACAACTTAATGCCGTATATTATATAAGAGTTATTGAATGGATCCCTTATGAAATTTAAAAATATTATTTTGTTGCCAAAAAAGGTTTTTGTAGAACATTTGCAAATTGGAGGATTAAAGAGCAGAAATGGTTGAGATATTCGGATCTATTCTGTTGCATTAAAAAATTTTAGAAAATCCTGTATTGAATTTATAAATGAGGAGGTATTAAAAATTTTATTCGTTTTGTTTTATAAAATATTATTAATATTAGTAAATAGATCAAATTTCATTAAATTGAAGTTGATATATTCTTTCAATGTTTTGGAATAACCCAAGAACCAGTTAGTAAGAATTATATGATGGTGATACAGTAGATTTTTATAGGGAAGGAAATTTCCATCAATTATTTGACTAATATTAAAATAAGTTGGAAAGGTAAATTGTTTGTTTTATATGAGCTTTCAATGGGTCTTAAACAGACTCATAAAGCTGGAAAGATTTATAAAGATATTCATTCTGATAATATATTAAATCCATTTGATAGTTTCGTTTTAATGATTTAGAATTTGTCAACCAATAAATCATTCAGAAAAAGAATAAGATATTTATGGGGTTTCACCTTATGTAGCTTCTGATTATTACATAAGAAAAAATATACACAAGCAGCATATATTTACTTATTTGGTATTTTAATAAATAAATTTTTATCTGAGAAAGTGATGCTTCTCATGATATTTTATTTTACAATAAATATTTGTCGTGATATAAAATTTATTAATTTATATATTATGCTTAATTAATAAAGTTAAAGATTATTATTTATTTAATATATTTTATAAGTAATAAATTATAATATTTTAATTATGATTTGAATATTCAATTAAATAATTTATTATTTAAAAAAATAATAATATTATAGTAAACAAATTTACCTACAATCAATATTTTAAAAAACTTAAAATATTTTATTATCTAATGATTATAAAAAAATGAAATAAAGTTTATTAGATTTAATCATATAAAAATACATTTAATAATAATATTTTTAAATTTTTAAAATTAATAATTATTAATATGTATCAAATTTTCAATTTTCAATTTTTAAAAATAACATATTATGTAATAATTATTTAAAATAAAATTCAGTTTATTGGATTCATCTTATTAAGACCTATTAAATGATAATATTTTTATATTTTTGAGATTAATATATAGCAAAATATGAATTTAAAGTTTTAATTTATAAATAAAATTATTTACAAATTTGTAAGCAAAATAATTAAAGAAATATATAATTATTAATTAGTAATTTTTTAAAAATAATAAACTATTATAAAAAAAGTTAAATTTTTAAATTTATATATATTAATCTTAAAAATATAAAAATATTACTATTTAATAGATATTAAATGAATTTTTTAATAAAAAAAAATTATAAAAACTTTTTAAATATATATTACCATATGGGTTCTTTGCTAAGAAAATGAGGTTCTCAGACTTTCTAACCGAAATCGAGATTTTTGCTTTATATTAATGTGTAACATATAAACTTTATTTGGTTAAATTTTTATAATATATTACCTTATTACCGGAATGATCAATTTGAGTTTGAAAATTTGTGTAGCATTCAACCTTAAAATCTAAAAATAGATTTAGAAATGATCGGCACTTATAATATGATGTTCGTTGAACTTTAAATAAAGAAAAATTTTTTAATTCTACTTAAAAACGAACTTCATTTCGGCTTGAAAAAGGCTAGGTAAGATCTTTTTTTATTTATTTTTGCTTTAGATTTGACTTTTAAGAATATTAAAATAATATTTTTTTATTTCTTGAATCACAGTCTCAGCAATTTTTCAAAGGAGTTTATTTTTCAGGAATGCTAGCTAGGTAAATGGGAGGAGGGTGTTGCTATTTTTAATTTTTTTAATTAAAAAATCATTTCTAACTCTAACTTCTTTAACTATTTGTAGGTTTAACTTTTTTTGGATAACCAGACTTTAAAGGTAATTGGAAAAAACTGGAAAAGGCTAAGTAAGATTTTTTTTTCATTTCTTTTTGCTTTAAATTTGACTTTTAAGAATATTAAATAATATTCTTTTATTTTTCGAATCACAGTCTCTAGCAATTTTTCAAAGGTGAGTTTGTTTTTCAGAAATGTTGGCTAGGTAAATGGAAGGGTGTTGCTATTTTTTAATTTTTTTAATTAAAAAATCATTTCTAATTCTAACTTCTCTAACTATTTGTAGGGTTAACTTTTTTTGGATAACTGGACTTTAAAGGTAATTAGAATGAACTGGATACTTTTTTATTTTTTTTAATTAAACGTTTCTAACATTTTTTTTCTTATTTATAGAAATGTTAGGTTATTTGGATAATAATTAGAGAGCAAATTATTTAATTATCTCATGTTTTGGAAACAGACTGAACTTCTTTTTTGTAAGGGATTTATATGAATGTATTTCTTTATCGTTATGTAATGAGCTTGATATCAGAATATTATGATTAATGAAAATATTTTACCAATTTCACAAAAAATTAACTGAAAGTTTTGGCATTTAAATTAAGATTTTTTATTTATTTTTTAAATTATAATAAATTTAGTTTTGCATAATAAACATCTTTATAGGATTTATCAACATATTGGCGAATTTTTAAATATAAGTAATTTTACCATTCTTTCATTAATAATGTGGCATCAATTAAATTGGGATTACCATTTTTATCAAAATTATCGCTATTTAATAATTTAAAACAAAACTCATCTCCACTGGATTCTTTTGATACATATACTTTACCAATATCATTAGAACTAAAACGAAAATGATAATATTGCCTTATATTAGAAAGAGGTATAAAATGTTTCTTAAAAAATTCGCTGAAATCGTATTAATTTTAATTTGTTCCATTATTATATAAAATTGCATCATTGCCTTCTGATGAATTATTTATGATATTTTTAACATCATCAATAATATTAACGATATATTTCCAATATGCTTTCTTAATGTGATCAAAAAATGAGTCACATATAAATTTTGTGTAACTGAAAATCATAAAATTGACTGTAATGTCTTTATACCAACTAAGCATAACCAACCAAGACCAAAACCAAAGTAAAAGATTATTCTTATTTTGTCCAGAGCAATTATTACAAGTAATATATAAATGTTTTTTTCCACTTAAAGCAAATTTTCAAAATGCATAATATACTATATTTATTGTTATATTAGCACCTTTAGAAGTACTTTTTGGAAGTTCACCTTCTCTAATTACAAAATTTAATTGACGATTTTGTCCTCCTTCAGTTTTACAAACTTCAAAAAAATGTACAGAAAAAGTTGATTTAAAGTAAATAGAATCAACTTGCTGTGGTGAATATGGTATAAAAACATTTTGCGTCCAGTTATAACATATATGTGTGATAGTTAAATTATTTTTACTCTTATCAATATTAATCATTATAATGCTACCGTTCTAATTTTGCTTTTTTTTGATGATTTTCATATTGAACTTGAACCTTTTTATATTCATCTACGTCAGATTTTACTACTTTTAATTTAGCCTTAAACTCTTCACATGTTTCGCAAAGATCACTTGCTGGTTGTTAGAACTTAAGATATAGTATTATTTCTTGCCAAAGTTTTCAGAAAGTATGATAAGAAATTATTTGATTTGATTCGCCATGTTTAGTATAATAATATTCTTTATATTTATTATAAACAGAAGTATATGTTCTATCAGTAGGAAGGTAAATAAACGTATTGGAATTATTTCTATATTGTAATGGAGAGGGTAAACCATAAATACAACTATATTGAACTAAAAATTGTTTTAATGAAAATCTATTATCAGAATTAACAAAAGCTCTATTATCCATTTTAGAAGGGCGTCTAAAGTGGAGTAGTCACGTAAAATCTCACGTGATCGTAAGGATAATTGTGATTGATCCGATTATTTTATATAGTAAATTTAATAAAATCATCTGATTCAATATTTAAAATTCGCTATTATAATTTATAAAATTGTTCTGCCAATCACTATATAAATGCAATGTAGATCTTTTCGAATTGTAAATTAAAATAAAAATAAAATTTTAAAAAAATTCTTTAT